AGCTTTGGCACCGGCATTTCGGTGTCACCAAAATGCAGTGGGTTGTTCCTGTGCTTTTTGCTTCTCCTCTCTTCCTTAGCTTGTCTGCAAAATTTAATAAATGTCTGTGTAAGAGGTGTTTCTGGTCTATTAAAAGTATTTAATGCGACAGCACTTCTTGGCAGCAAACCCTGTCCTCGAAGGAGAATATTTTGGGATGTGAAGCGCTAGAAACAGTGGGTAGATCAGAGTTGAGGGAAACCCCATGTGTTTCACAATCAAGATCTGTTGTTAATGGAGATAAATGAACCATGCTTTGTTGCTCATGTTTTTCTTTTTTTTTTTTTCAGCCACAAATACATGGAGCATTTTACAGACAAGCGGAGCTTTGGTGCAAGGAGGCTATGGGCACAGCAGCGTTTATGATCCAAATACAAGATCCATTTATATCCATGGAGGTTACAAAGCGTTCAGTGCCAACAAATACAGGCTAGCAGATGACTTGTACAAATATGAAGTTGATACCCGTATGTGGTAAGTACATCTTTTTCATATTCTCCTCCCCTCATTTTTGTGTGCAGTAGAAAAAAAGGATAAGAGTATCTGATAAAAGAAAAAAAAACAACAGTCTTATAACGTAGTTTTATTCRAGATCTTGCATTCTTCTGGCTGGTATTTTTATGACCCTTTATGAATAGAGAATCATATAATTGCCTATAATCAGGAGTGTGAAGTAGCCAAGAAATCTGTTTTAATATATTGTTATATTAAAGCTGAAAGGAAAAATAGTTGATGGGATTTTCTTGGCAGCAATATGGACAATGCCTACGAGTGCAGTTACTGTAGTCAAGTGAGTGATAATTTATTCTGCAGTTCAGGCTGCAAAAGAATTGCTATTATAACCCCATTTTCTTCTGGCTCTGTAACAATCTGAAGCATTCATTTCTTAAGCTGAAATCTTCTGTGACTGCCTTCTGCCCAGCGGTGAGTTTTATTAGCAAGCTGACAACTTTGAGTTTCCTAGTTGAAGTGCATTTTCTTCAGCTTTGTGTTTTTCTTGACTTGTTTTTAAAAGCCTACTGAGAAAAGAGGACTGATCTTTTGATTTCACACATGCAAATTAGAGTCACTATATAGATATATATATTTTTTTTGTGCTTAACTTATATTTCTGTTCCAACTGTTTGAGATGCCCAGACTGGTGACCAGTATCCAAAAATCCTCCTTCCYGTTGAGCCGTACATTCTGTAATAATTGTGTTTCCTTTATGTTTTTAGTTCATTAAATCCTCAGGTTCTACCACGGAGCTGGCAAATTTGGCTGAAAGGGGAGAAAATGCCACACACGTTTCTGTTCGCGGCCTCTTCCAGCAGCAACCTTCTTGCAGTGCACTATTTTATTAGTCTCCAAAGGCCTAGAATAAGGCTGGCCTCAGAGGAGCTACTTTCACTGTGAAAATCTTTGCTTTCTTACCAACTGCATTCACAGTTTTCCTCTATTCCAGCAGCAAAAGCTTGCCAGCCATGACAGTGTTGCCCGTGACACAAACATTGTCATATTTGTGTTTTTATGTACTTCTATGCTGTYCAAATAGTAGGGGTGTTCTGCAAAGGGTGACCCGCTTTGTGTTGAGTGGTTTTTTCATGGTTAAAGGTGAGGTCAGTGGCTAATATGATTAATGCTATCCAGGGTTTAATCATGGATAAAGTGCTGAGTTTTGCAAGTATTATGCTCTTGGACTCTGTTATAGGCTGCCACATAGATTGCCCTGAAGTGATTTTGTTAGGTTTGGGCAAGARATGATATCGAACTTGAAAGAATGCTCTAGGCTTGTGTATAAAATGAGTATTGCCTAGACTGGGGTCCTCCAGCATCATCTCAGCAGAAACACTGACTAAACGGTGTCCCTTCCTAGGGGTAGGATTTTAAGATCCTCAGCTTTGGAAAAATACTTTTGTGGATGCCAGTCTCCTGTGAATTGGAAAGCAATTTGTAAGGTGAAAAATTCACATTGCAACAAGAACTGAACGGTTGGGAAGGAAAGTGGTTAAATATTTCCTTGGAAAAAAAAACAAAGCAAAAAACCAAAATGGGATCCCTCTGCAGTTCCATCTCCAGCGTGGATTTATGGCTTGTTTTGTCTTTGCCAGGTACTAATCAGTTGCATTAATACGTGTGTTTTTATTTCTGCAGGACTGTTCTTAAGGAAAGTAGTTTTTTCCGCTATTTGCACACTGCTGTGATAATGAGTGGAACCATGCTGGTGTTTGGAGGCAACACGCACAACGACACCTCAATGAGCCACGGCGCTAAGTGCTTTTCTGCGGATTTCATGGCGTACGATATTGGTGAGTTCTTGCAGAAAAACAAGAATAGAAAGAAGGCTCCGAGATTCAAAGAGCTGTCTTCCAAAAGGCTAATTTACATGCTGTGTATATTGTAGCAAATGCCACTAAGCAGACTGCAGAAGAATGTGTAATCAGGAGAGGCAAAATGAGCTGCTGYAGTGATTTCCAAGCAAATACGACAGCAGCTTTGTGGTCGGTAGTTCATACGTAACCTTAGGCATTAAAAACTGCTTCTTAAACACAAAAAAAGGATGTTAAAAAGCCTCAGTCGAAAGGCTTAGTTGGTGTTTTGAGTGTGTTTTAATCTCTGATTTTGCAAAACCATAGAAGACAGAAGGCCTGGACCTTGCTGAAGCTCTGCTTGCACACACATGCTCTTGTCTGAACTGGCTTGTGTCCCTGCAGTGCTGTGTAAATTCCCTTAGTTAATATGTAAACTTAAAAAGTATAAACTTCCCTGTGCACAGTATTTAGKAAGAAAGCCGAAGGATTAGATTTTATTTGGAAGCATGAGATTTTTGATGAGCTTAAATAACCAGGAGAGGGCAGCATTTATTTGTGAATTCAGAGTCCAGAAATTGTGCATTTAAGATGAAAAAAGGGAAAGAGAAAGAGATGAAATAATCTAAAAGGAGATGCATGCATAGCCACCTGATTCCCTTTGGAGCAAAACACCTTTCTTTACTCCTATCACATTCTACCATCTGCTGCTAGAATTCCTTGAAATACGGGATCTGTTGTTTGATTCCTTGAAAAAATCATGTAAGCCTGAATTAGTGGAGCGGTTGTCCGTTGTGATTGCATTTCGGGTTCCTGAAGGGAATATGGGAGCAAAGGCACTGCTCTGGATAGCAAGATTTAGCATCCCCGTGCAGTTTTGCTGTCTGTAACCAGGGCTCTTCCCTTCTGCCAGGTCGTGTCCCCACGCCACCCGCTGCGTGCTCCAGCCTAGCTTTAGCACCAGCTTTTGCTTCAACCCAGCTCTTTTGGCAGCCAGCTGGAAGAGAGCGCAGTGTTTCCAAACTTAAAAAAGCAGGAGGGATAGATTTTTTGCGTGCTAAACTTGGCCATCTCCCGTGACCCACTGAACTCTATTAGATGTAGAGCCCCGATKGCGCGAGCTGGACGCAGCGTGTCGATAGCGATGCGCTTTTGATGGGGTTAAGCTACAGGCAGGCGGCTGCTTGCGGGAAATACGTGTTATAATCAGCTCGCCCAGGCCTTCCCAGATGGAGAATTAGGGCTCGTATCGATCCYGCTTCGTGTGGCATGGATGGAATGTATACACAGCATCCCAGCCCTCCTATGAAGCAGGGATTGCCAGGCTAGGAGCTGGGAAGAAGCTGGGAAAAAGGGATTRTGCTTCCCAAAGGGTGAAGCCTGGCATGCACTGCAGCAATAACAAAACCTTCGAGGGCAACTTGCCTCCAAATACATTGCTGTTTGACCTTTCTTTGTCATTTTWAAATAAGTTTTAGCTTTGTTTTTCTAAAAATCAGCATGATATATTCCTATAAAGGCTGTATGTGCATAAGGAGCTTTCTCCCCCCTGGCCCCCCCAGGAGAGAAATGAATCTCTCTCCTTATAGCATCAAAAATTCAGTTTAGGTGCCAGCCATAGAAGGAGGCTGGGTGTTTTCATAGCGTATAGGTTCCATTTGAACGGGACATTTAATAAAATCCTATGCATTGTAAATTTTAGGCTTGGCCTGACTCATAAATCAGGCAGGAGAGGGTGCTTTGGAGTTCCAGAATCATTCATTTTTTCCAAAACTTGATCTTCTCTTAAGGATGGGAGCGAAGCTTAGAAAGCAAAACATTCTGAGCCTCCCATTAATCCAGCAAAATATGTTTCTTGGCCTCACATAACTCACAACTCTCTGGATTAAAAAAAAGAACCCTAAATTGCTGTCCAATTTTGTTGAAATTTCCTGTAAGAATTGGAACCAGGCGTGCTTTCTTCATAAGTGATGTTGGGGTAGGTTAAATTCTTTTCAAACTGAGCAAATGGCATTTAAAAATAAATGTTTAAATCATGCTATACCAAAGTATTAAATCCGACTGTCTGGGTCCTATATATTTTATTTGTCAGCGCTCATATCTTGAACAGAAGTATCAGTSGGTGCATAGGTTAGAAAGTTACTCACCGAACAATTTTCCAGTTAAATTTAGTGAAGAATTAATGAGGTTCTTTTTCTTTGCCCCCTCACTTTATTTACATACTAGTTTTAGTTGGGGGGCCTATTTCTAAGAGGCTCAGACCCTGACAAAATCCTGTATTTATGAATCTGTGGTTGTTGGAGAGGCTCTGCAGACCTTTACAGCAGAGAGACTTTTCTGTCTTAATTGCATAAATTGCATTCAGCTGCCTCTGGGACATTAGCCCCCAAGGTGCTCCCATTCAGTGTGCAGAGTTTAAGTGGTATGAATTGGACTGACTTTTTCTGCTTTTGCTGCTTTTGTTCCTTTGATTGCTCAGTGGGTTATATGTTTCTTAAGTTTTTTGTTTTTTTAACATACTGCCTAAAGGAAAGAATTACCTGAGAAGCAAAGTAAAAAATGAAGCAGAACTTACGAATGTTATGCTAATAGAAAAGGATGGAATAATCTTGCATTATATTAAAAGTTAAAAAAAAGAAAGAAAAATGAAAACAAACAACAAAAATCCTTAAGCTGTGATGAGTGAAAAATATTTTAAAACCATGGATAGCTGCCCGCTAGGGATGTAATAGAAATGGAAGGGAAAAAAAGAGATAAAAGTCTCTGTTCTCAGTGGTGCTGGTTTGGGGCACAACTGCGAATAATTCACATATAGATCGATAAAAAAGGGACTTATTACAGAGGGAAAAAATCCTGTAATAAAGGAAAAAAATGTCCTTCAAAGCGCCAGCTCCCATTACACAATTACCAAAAAGCTAATGACGTCTTCCACACAAAATCAAAATCATGAAACTTTCTTGGTCGTGAGCCATCGAGATGGCAGGGCAGGGCTGTTGCCTCCTTCCTTTTCCTTCCTGAGATGCCATAAGGTCAGTGCGAAGAACAAGTCTCTAAGACAAGGTCATGCCATGGTGCTTGGTTCTTCTGGAGGCTCTGTTCTTCCTCTGAGTTGGTCAAGGAACCACTGAGCAGCCTTGGGTGCTGATGTGGTTGTAAATGGATGTAGCATCAACCTTGTCTTGTCATGAAGGCCCTCTGCCTTCATAAACTGCCCCATTTCCCCCAAGAGTTGCACTTGGGTGATGGTTACTGTGGTCATTAAAAGTGCTGTGGGATCCTTGAAGACGGGAGGTGTTCCATAAACTGACTCGCTAATTCTATGAGAGGAACTTTTCTGAAATGAGTTTTTCTTAATCCTAGCTTGCGATCAGTGGTCAGTGCTTCCTCGTCCTGATCTCCACCACGACGTGAACAGGTTTGGACATTCTGCTGTGCTGTACAACAGGTAAGAAGCAAAGACTGGCGTGTGATGACATAATATTGATTCTCTGTAGACTCCAACACCTTTAAGTGTCCATGCAAGCCACAGTGTATGTAGATCTGAGACAAGACATTTGAGATTATCTCTTCCAAATCTGAAGTTCTCTGGTCTTGACTCTTGTAATGCCTTTGGTGTCTACCCTTCGCTCTCAGCCCTTCTGTCCTTCAGAGCTTCTAGCAGCTCAGCTTCTTTGCCTCACCTCAACTCACTCAATTGTTACGAAAATTGAGTTGTTTGTTTCTTCTTTCTTTTCCTCTCGTCTAACTGCGCTGTCAACTTTTATCTTCACAACTATAGTTTTCCCTCATAGTTGTCATCTTAGTATACGTGGCTCGCCCAGTGTGGCTCCTCTGTACCAGTCATATCCTATACAGTGCTTGGGTGAAATCGGAGATGAGATTCCTCTCAGAGATGAGATTCCTGCCATTTAGCAYTATATTGCTGTAATAATATTCATGCTTTCAGGCAAATGTCTCAGTTATGGTCTTTGGGTCAGTGAAACTGAGTTTGAGGTCGCCTTCAAGGAAATGATTTCCTAGGAGACTTCCATTCTAGTTCCTTCATCCGTTCAAAAAAGTTTCCCCTAAATCAGCAATATTATTTAGAAGACTGTTTAAACTAGTTGTGTGACTCATGCCACCTTTAAGGTAAAKATATATACTCCTAGATTCTGCAGCCCTGAATATATCTCCCAATATCTAGAGGATCTAGTATATGCTTCTCTTTTTGTCTCTGCAAATAATCACTCGCTATTATGTTGGTTTCGGTATTAATTGTGCAAGAGCCGTGTGTTTGCTCCCATGACAAATGATTAAGCTTATGTTCAAGTGCTTTCCTGATGTGGGATGAAAATACAATGTTAAAATACTTTAAAATCCACTAAAACCTTTCTTTAGTTGCATTAATTCTTCTGCACTGTCCTGTTAACTAAATTTATAAACATGGATAGGTTTTTTTGGAYGGCCTTTTTAGGTGTTTTGGGGTGGCATTTTCATGTTATGCCTAAAGCAGTTGCAATGTTAAAGAAAGCATCACTTTTTTTTTTTCTTTCCTCAAAACACGACTTCGCTTTTAGTTGACACAATGACTCCCTGTTCAGTTGCTAAGAGCCATGAAAATAACTGTGGTTTTGTCACAGCAGCGTACCAGGATGTGACAACATTGAATTGTTTTGTCGCAGCTTCTGAGCACGGATTTAATGGTGTGATGCCGTCTCACCTATTTTAGCCTTCCTCCCTTTCTTGCCACTGTGCTTGAAAGGAGAATCCTGCATTTCTGCAACAGTTTATGTTTCTTCATGTCAATTGGGTGTTACCCAGATGCTTGGCTTGAAAAGGAAGGTCACTGTTTTATCTAAGATAGGTTTAAGGCTTCCTCAGAAGCTACAAGACAGGGAGGCTGATGAGTTTCTTGCTCTGGAGGTCTTCCAAACGCGCCTGGATGCCACCCTGTGCTCTGGGTGTTCCTGCTGGTTGGACTAGAGGATCTCTAGAGGTCCCTTCCAACCTTGAACATTCTGTGATTCTGTGAAGACCCTTTGGGTTCTCTGACCTGGTGGAACTTGATTGACTCTGGACTTGTGCGCTACTTAACCGGGCTGTCTTTAGCTGGATATATGCACGCGGTAATATAAAAAAAACACTTTATACCATGAATAAAACCAAGCAGCAGCTGTACACGGTCTGTAAAAGCCCRATGGAAATGTTCACGTGTTTCTTTGCGTTTTGTCTAGCACCATGTATGTGTTCGGGGGCTTCAACAGCCTCCTCCTGAGCGACATACTGAAGTACACGCCGGAGCGGTGCGAAGCTTTCGGCAACGAAACGGCCTGTTTGCGAGCGGGCCCCGGGCTGCGGTGTGTGTGGAACAGCTCCCGCCTCCAGTGCCTCCCCTGGGAGATGGCAACGCTGGAGCAGCAGCAAAAGGTCTTTGAAGACTGTCCTTCTAAGCTAGGTATGTGTCATGTCCTCTCCCTTTCCCAGCACGCCTAGGGTTTTTCCTTTCCAATTTCCCTCTTGCCATTTTTGTGCCATTCCCAGAAAACTTTCCTACATTCCCAGGAGGGCTGAAGTCCTTGTTCTGTGCATGCCCTCAGCAGTGACACAAGGACATTTGCGTCCCTTGTTCTCTCCAGAGATGCTACATCAGCTCTTTAGGGCTTTTTCTGCTCTGCTGGGTGTCACTTCCCAAAAAGTTTGTACCTAGTTCTTCATCCCACATAGACATCATCGGTCAGGAATCAGGCTTGGACCATTGCTGTGTAGACCTTTGCTCCAAGAACTGACCTCCTGAGAGCCACCAAGTCTTTTGATGAGCACCATGGGGCACAGAAGGGGGATCTGGACCCCACTGTGTGTCTACTTCAAGGGAAACAGCAGGAAGAAAGTTTCAGAGTAGATTTATTTTTCCTTCTGTGTTCCTATATGGTAGAGACCTAGAAAAAGAACATTTGTTTTAAGGTCTGATTCCTGTGTTCTCCCTTTTGATAACTTTCTAACAACTTCTGAGTGCTGTATCCTAATGCATTCATCGCTCTGAATTGAATTATATGAACCTTGATTCTGTAATAGATTGCAGCCTTTAATTATTTAAAAGAAATTGATGTAAAGGGACATTGCTTTGATGGGCTCTCAATGTACAATAAATTTTCGCAAAACACAGGCGATAAGCAATTGGAAAGATGAAGTGGAAAGCTCAAGCTTTGCATGAAAATGCTGCACATAATTGAAGGCCAGGATTTCAGTAACATGGGCCCATAGTAGTAGATTTTTCTTGTCCTTGTTCAGTGTCCTTTGGCATCATCTGCATGAGCCTTGACTAAAGAACGTGCACGTGTGGTCTTAGTTCATGTGCTGCTTTGTCCTGGCACGCTTTCTGATATTGTGTTTTTGATGCTGCTTGGCCACTAAAAATGATTAATGGTACAAAAGAATGCAATTTTTCTATCAGTCTAGTCCCATGAAAGTGTCTGATCTACTAACTACTCGATAATGGAAAATCTCCAGGCACTACTGTATGGTTATATCTTTTGCTGTGTATAATCAAGTTCTTAGAACTCTGTCAGGAAATGCCTGTTTTTGGTCATGCAGGTTTTTTTCTTTAATAGTTGTAGACAGTGAAAAATGTGATCAGATTACAGACTGCTATAGCTGTACAGCAAATACAAACAACTGCCAGTGGTGCACTGACCAGTGTATCTCGATGCACAAGAACTGCACAGAAGAACAGGTAAAGTCTCTCTAAATAATTTTGGAGTTTTAAATGTAGCTTTTTTTGAACTGCTGCGTGTCCTCACCTGGCCATTGATCCCTCTTGGTTCATTGTTTCCACCTCTGAACTGCTGACGTTTGAATTTTGCAAGTTAGTCCAAGGGCTTTTCTTGGAGGCCTCTCACTCCGTTAARGGATTTCGAAGGGCAGGGGTGGAGTGGGAGGTTTCACAATGAGTGCAGTGTGGTTTTTCATTAAGGTACATACGCATTTGGGTTTGCCATAAATTCAGCCTTACCTGGTTGCTAAGCTAGGCAGGAAAAATTTGTCTTTTTATAAAAGTTCTAGTGGGGAACATGTGTTAGATGCTGGCCAGGGGGAAAATCCTAAATCTGCAGTAGAGGCTATATCAAATGTTGAAACTTTTGAATGTATAAGTTGCTTTGTAGGTCTGAATTGTAGAGCTTGTGTTAAACATGTTTTAAGAGGAGAAAAACCCTATCTGTGCTATTTATTTTAGATTCCTATTACTACATATGATAGCTGTCCGAAGGATAACCCTGCATATTATTGCAACAAAAAGACAAGTTGTAAAAGCTGTGCCATGGATCAGAACTGCCAGTGGGAACCTAGGAATCAGGAGTGCATCGCTTTGCCGGGTAGGTACTGATTGTGTTGGTGTAAAATAAATAAAACCAGAAGTTAATCAGTCTAAAAGTATTAAGGTGATTTTTTTTTTTCCCCTCTTAAAAGAAAAAAAATAATCTGTTTTGTCCAAAACTCTATTTCAAGCAAGTTCAGAAAGTCTTATGGGACATTCTTCTGTCTTTTCAGTCCCAATTGCCAGCAGATCAGTATGGTCCTTTGTATGATTATTAACTTTTATTTCCTCTCARTTTTCTTCTCCATTTGATAAAAGCAACGATGTTGATACAGTAGGCTCCTGTAAGGTATTAGATTTAATAATGCATGCCATTTAATTTTAGAAGCTAGAATGGTGCAAAAGCAGAATGACACATACTGGAGAGAAAAATAAATAATAATAGATGAATAAATTAGATAATGTTTCAAGTGGGAGTTTATGATTAGTCTTTCCTGTAGCACGTTTTTTTACAGTGACCAGGTAGGAAGTGCAGCTTCTTGAGCAATTGACATTTACAGCTACTAAAATAGGAGAAGAAGAGAAAAAAACAAAGAAAGGACTCTCAGACTGGGCTGGATTTCCTTCTTCTAGTAACCCATTTAGGTTTGGACGTGTCCAGGTCTGGTATCAGCAAGTCTGGAAGAGAGGGAGAAAATGGAGAAACTTCAGAGAAGAATCAYGAGAGCAAGAAAAGCATCTTGTAATGATGCTGCCTAACTTAGTCTAGGTTGTTAAAGAAAAGGGCACCCCCTTTCTATAACATYTTAATCTGAAAACCAAACCAACCAAACAAGAAAACCCAAAATGTTGACCATTGACAGTGGAGAACTTCTCAGTCTGCTAGACCARTCTAAAACAACCCATAGATGTTGGCTTTACGGCAATTTGTGCTAAAAAAGTCCATCTTGTTTCTTGGGAAGGTAGTTACAAGTGTGTGTGCGTGGAGGGAAATTGCCACGGGGTTATTAGTTCTATAGAAGCAGGCACAACTGCTCTTGACAACTGTTAAACGGGAATTAATTTGGGAAATTTTGGTGCTGTGGACAAGATTAGCAGCAGCCTCCTCCTATGGCAAGTTATCCTTACAGTTGTGGTCAAAGATATGGCTTTAACCATCAGCAAAATATCCATTTACCTTCCTCTACTCTTYTTTCTTAAAGAATTCTACTATTCTAGTGTCAGAATTTTTTTTTTAACCTGCTACAGATTAGTAGAAGATGGTGTCTTGCTTTCTTGCTTTAGCTCCTCTGAGCAGCTTTCTGTTTTTTCAGATTCTTTATACATAAACGCTTTTGAGYGTGCCAACCAAGTTGGCCATTCCCTGATGCTCTTGGATGGGATTGTAGGTTTTATTTTGGTGGAACAGCTTTTGRACTACTTTGGATGTGGTAAAGCTCACCTGCCTCTCTTGTCTGTCTTTTTCTTTTTTCTCCCCCCTTCTCAGAAAATATCTGTGGGACAAACTGGCACTTGGTGGGCAACTCGTGCTTGAAGATCACAAACACAAAGGAGAACTACGATCACGCCAAACTGTCCTGTAGATCCAACGGGGCTTACCTGGCTTCTCTTACAACGCAGAAAAAGGTGGAGTTTGTTCTGAAGGAGCTACAGAAGATGCAGGCTTCAGTGAGTGCTTCGCTTTAATTAACGTCCTCTGACTAATTAAAGCCCTGACTGCGGGGAAAGCCCTTGGTGGGGTGTCGTGCGCTCTACTCGGAGTAGACTTTAACCAAGAAAGAAAACAGAATCAGTCGATTTTTTTGAAATTCAACATGCCCTATGGGTGCTTTTGAAGTGGAAGTGTAGAGAATGTAAATGTGAGAGATAAATATAAACACATACGGTGCCTCAAAGGTATCGCTCGCTGTACCGGAGCGGCAAACACGATTCTCCGGTGGGCTACACGGCAGCAGCAGGGACGAGAGTGGTTCTCCTGACATCTACAAGGGTCTTATAAATGACGGTCCCTTCGGGGCACCRTAGGTGTTTAATGCAAAGCATTCCAAGTTATTTATTCTCTGAAATGTGCTTAAAACATTGGTTTCTTACTCAGCAGGTCTGCGTGACTCGTTTGGAGCTGTGTGGGTGGTTTTTAGTGGCAGGTGCTTTCCAGGTTGAGCTGCTGCAAAGGAGGTTAGGATCTATCCTTCCTCGTGCTTCAATGAAATAAAAAGAGGAGAGAGACTATMCGCTGCATTCACTCCTTATAGATAACATATATGCTATGTATATACTGTGTACAGTTGTTCCCAGCTAACTTGAAAATATATAGGTGTYAGTCCATAGTGCTGTGTTATCCTGTTGCAATTAGGATTTTCACTTTCAGGGTTTGAGAGAGCATAAAATGAAATTGAACTGGGTGGCTGTTTCACCAGCATGAATATATTTGATTTGCTCTCCTCTTAGTTTGCATATTGGGAAGGGGCTTTAAACAAACAAACAAAAAAGGAGTGTTTCCCAAAGGAATTSGTTGTCTCTTTGGCCTTTAATCGTCACAGCAGTAAGAAACAAATATCTCCCTATTGTATTTTTGCTACAGCACACCCTGCAAAGTTGTACTGGAGTACTGTATGGTGGTAAGCTTGAWTTGCTCTCAGTAGTAAATAAAATAAAATTATGGGTGATAATCCTGACATTTTCAGTTGTAAATAAATAAAACAGTGCTGATAATCCTAACATTTTTTTTTTCTTTTTTTCTTTCCTAGCCCAAAACTTTGACTCCGTGGGTTGGCCTGAGAAAAATCAACGTGTCCTACTGGTGCTGGGAAGACATGTCGCCCTTCACCAACAACCTGCTCCAGTGGCTGCCCCACGAGCCCAGCGACGCTGGCTTCTGTGGCTACTTAGCCGAGCCTTTGCAGCAGGGCCTGAAGGCAGCGACCTGCATCAACGAAGTGAACGGCAGCGTCTGCGAGAGGCCAGGTAAGGACAGCTCTGCTCTGCGGCCTCAGAGGGAAGAGGTCTCATAATATACACATGTATTTCCCAGGGAGTTGGTAAGATCCCTTTTACAAAGCTGCCTCATGATCTTCCTTTTTTTAATTAAAAAAAGAGACTCTGAATAAATCTCTTGCACATATTTCATGCTAGAATTGGGCATGTTAAAAACCAGCTCTTCGTCTATACTGTTAACTCCAAAGTGTTTAAAGTGCGTAATAGTTCAATTATTTTCCCCCCTAATTGCACACCTGAATGTGGCGTTTAGGTTAATGAAGGCGCGGAGCCAGCTGCAGTTTCAAAAAACTCAAAATAAAACCCCCTTTTGGATCGAAGGCCTCTTGTTCCCCTCTCRTGCGCTGTAGCCAGAGGAGAGTTTTATCAGAGTTTGAAATTAATTGGGCAAGACACTTTGGAGATAATGAGAATTTTTTTTAAAAAAGGCTGTTTGCTTTTGGGGAGAGCCCTCCAGCTTTGCTGGAGCTGCATATTTCTTAAAATGGCTCGTTCTGTTTCCTCCCCAGTCGAGCTGATTGCTTACTGATTAGTACCTTTGTAAGTTGTAAGAAAGTTGGCCGGTTACATAATATCTCAAAGTGACATCCCTTGAAGTCATTCTTTGTGACAGTGCAGGATGCAGAGCATAAATAGGGCATTTTTAACTCAAAATGCATATATATATATATATAATATATATATATATATATATATATATACACACTTTTTTTTAACTTTGCACATGCAGTGCTTCAGTTTAAATTTAAACTTATTTTGTGCCCCAAGAAGAGTTGCTTAAAACCAATGGTTAAGCTCTGGCTTGCACAGAGAATTCCTTTTAAATGCTGAATTTCCTGGCCAGAGGAGTTCCCTTTAAATGCTGGATTTCCTGCCCAAATGGTGTAACCCACATTGCCACCTTCTGGGTTAAAGGGTGGGTGTTTTCCCCATGCTTTGCTGGAGCAAAGCAATGCGCTGGCAGGTGTGTGCAGGTGCAAAACCCAGATGCAAACCCCAGATGTGTGCAGGTRCAAACCCCAGATGTGTGCAGGTGCGAACTCCAGATGCAAACGAGGTGCAAGCCCCAGATGTATGTAGGTGCAAGCCCMAGGTGCAAACCTGGTGCAAGCCCCAGGTGCAAACCAGGTGCAAACTCCAGATGTGTGCAGGTGCAAGCCCCRGATGTGTGCAGGTGCAAGCCCCAGGTGCAAACCAGATGTTAGCCCCAGATGTGTGTAAGTGCAAACTCCAGATGCAAATGAGGTGCAAAACCCAGATGGGTGCAGGTGCAAAACCCAGATGGGTGCAGGTGCAAGCCCCAGATGTGTGGAGGTGCAAGCCCCAGATGCAAGCCAGGTGCAAGCCCCAGATGTGTGCAGGTGCAAGCCCCAGATGCAAACGCCAGCCCAGACTGATGCTCTCTGTGCCCATGCAGCCAACCACAGTGCCAAGCAGTGCCGCACGCCCTGCGCCCTGCGCACGCTCTGCGGCGAGTGCACCAGCGGCAGCTCCGAGTGCATGTGGTGCAGCAACATGAAGCAGTGCGTGGACTCCAACGCCTACGTGGCCTCCTTCCCCTACGGGCAGTGCATGGAGTGGTTCACCATGAGCAGCTGTCCCCGTGAGTAGCCGCCCCGCGGGGCCCCTCTTCCCTGCAGAAGTTCTCGTCTCGTATTATCTTATTATTTGGTTAATGCATTTTATGTAGTTATGCAGCAAATTCTGTCAAGGATCTGCTGCAAGGAGCTCCGAGTAGATGCCTCAGCTCCACAGTAGTTTGTGTGCCGTGTAAAGCATTAAATAAACTTTCTGATAAACAGAATTAGGTCTTGATTAAGGGAACTATCAATTAAAGTAAATGGCAGATAGTGTAGGCTAAGAAATAAGATGAATAAATCAATTTTTTCCCCTCTTTTTTTAGTTTTTTTTTTTCCAGAGGGAGAAGTACTTGTTCTGTTATTTCAGTTCCTAGTCTCTAAATTGATTCTGTTATGTAATTTCATGCAATTAATTTCTTTTTCTGTCTCTTTTTATCTTTTCTCTGTCTCCTTTATTCATACATGTAATTCAATATTAGCTYGTCTGTATCAAATCCAAATCAGGGATTATACAAACACTTTATCCTAAAGTATAGTCTCCCTGTGTCCCAGAGTAGACATTTCTGATGTATTTTAAATAAGTGATTTTATTTTTATTAGTWGACTCAAGCAAATTGCAAGACATTTGGAATGCTTTGGAATACCACTTTCTGTGGCTCAATGTTTGTCTTATTTTTGTGTTTGTGAGAAGTTACTGAATTCTTTAGGAGTCAGGAAAGCCAGGGCTAGTCGGGTATGTGGCTAGCAGATGGAGAGGAACATGCAGGAAGGAAGTTGGACAGGTGGAGCTGCTCCATGAACTTCTGGAAGCTGACAGGAATGAGCTGGGCTAGCTCAGAGAGCTATAAATTAAGAGATGGAGAGAATTAATTTCAAGCAACTGTCACACACGACTGTGTGAACTTCTCCCTGAGGTCGAAAGTTGGAGGAAGCAGCAGGCAGGAGAGAGGAGTAGATACAAAGAACGCAAAACAATTATTTTTTCCCCGTTCCCTTCCTTCTCCTGCAAAAGGCAAGTGTCAGTTCTACATCAAAATAGAAATTCTGCTCTTCATGGAACACAGAGGATCTTAACATTCTTAAGAATAAGAAGAGCAAAATTTTGCTGTATCTGAGAGTTTCCCTCACCCCGAAAGAAGTCGCATTTGGGAAAGGAACCCTTGAATCATGGTGATGGTTCTTCCCTGCTTTAGTTGATTATCGGGCCAGGGGAGAGCTTGGACATGAATTTCTACCTTAAGACAACAAATTGCTTTTGTACCCACACTTGCTGACTCGGATAATATGTAAAGTGGTAGCATGTGGTATTAATTTGTGACGAGGAGGGATGTGAAGTATGAAAATAAATCTGCTTTAGCCTTTGCTTCAAAGCAGCTCGTGTTGTCTGGTGGCTTGTTGCAAATCCAGCGATGATCATTTGTAGCTGGGAATGTTCTGCTATGATTTTAGCTTAATATGTGTATTGCATAGTTTCACAAATCACTGATTAAATCAATATTTTTAATAATTTTACCTCAATAGGATTATGCTTATAGTTTAATAATTACACWTATATATCTCTATAATTTATTTATTCTAGGTGGAATACGGTAATAGGAATGAAAATGTATATTGTTATTATAGCTAAATACCCGGCTGAAGATTTATGTTTTGGAGACAGGTTACAAAAGACACGTGAAGAATTTGGCTTGCRTTGTTGCCTGTGTTGTAAGACAGGGATTCGTTTCACAATTTTTTTTATTTATTTTATAGCTGAAAACTGTTCAGGCTACTGCACGTGCGGTCACTGTTTGGAACAGCCCGGCTGCGGATGGTGCACTGATCCGAGCAACACTGGCAAGGGGAAATGTATAGAGGGCTCCTATAGAGGGCCAGTAAAGATGCCAACCCCGTCCTCGACAGGGAAGCAAAGCTTGGAACCCGTCCTCAACGTCAGCATGTGTGCCGCAGAGAATAAATACAATTGGTCCTTTGTTCAGTGTCCAGGTAAATGAGCAGAGTTTGTTTGTTAAAGCATTTCATAGGTCACAAAATTTAAATGCAGGGTGATGGGCTTCTTAAGTACATAGTGATTCCCATGTTGCCTCCCATTAAATAGAGGGAGAAAGAGAGTTTGAAAGGCATATAAGAAATGCACGTTTTGAGGTGGAAGGAGTGGTGCAGGCATCTCCTGGTGAACTGCAGGGATTTGCTGTGTGAAGACTTAGCTAAGGAATTTTCCTTAATCTATGAGCTGTTCTAGTAAGATTATTTTCCCTCCCCTACAAACCTTTATCGAGTTAAGTTTTCTTTATGTATTCATTTTGGGATTGTTCAAATAGAAAGGCAGTTATTTCTTTGAAAGTTTATTTAAGGCGAGTGGTGATTTTGAAGTTATATTTTTTGAACATCATGTTATGTGAAAGGCACAAATTCACAAATATTCATCCTTTTCTGATTTTTTTTTTCAGCCTGCCAGTGCAATGGGCACAGTAAGTGTGTAAATGAAAGCATCTGTGAAAAGTGTGAAAATCTGACAACTGGCAAACACTGTGAAACTTGTATTTCTGGCTACTATGGAGATCCTACTAATGGAGGAACGTGTCAGCGTAAGTGATGTCTTAAATTGTCCTGTGTCAAAGTCCTTGCTGTTTTTCACTCTTTATTCAATCCTGTAATTATAACCCAAATTATATGCTGATTTTAGGTTTAAATGAACTCTCTAGGCTTCTAATTTGCTCTTAATTTAAGTAATAAGGTAGTAATCTAATTATCTGTTGTAACCTTGGCTTTGATAAATATCTTATTTAGAGGAACCCACGCTCAAGGAACATTGAAGTTCTGAGCTATGTACTGCAAGCACAGAAGAGACCATAAAATATTCCTACAATTAGGACACAATCCTTGCTCCTTCAAACCAAAGACACAAAAAATCCTCAGTGAAGGTCTTTGTCTTGCCTTATGCAAAATAAGGTTTATTTTTACCCTTCTTTTTAAACTTAAAAATAACGTGTGATTCAGTGTGGTCATTTAAATATTCGGTGATCCTCTTTTGCAAAGAAATTGTGTTAATCCCAATGTCTTGAAACGAAATTGTGTTAATCCCAATGTCTTGGACAAATTTCTGCTCATCTAAATTCTACCTTTTATTATAGGCAGTTAATGCATTGTTGATTTATTGTCATAATCATCTGCTTAATAGAACCATAGCCATATTTCACTGCGAATTGGCTGCATTTCATTTTAGGATTAGGTGAGCCCAGTTATAATTGCATTTTAAGTCTGCAAAGTGCTGATGGGCTCGTTGGCAAGACTGGGAAACGAATGTGGGAGGTTTGTTCTGTCCTTAAACTTTGCAAAATTATTCTGAATTGCAGCTTATCTCAGTTTGTTCCTGTCTTACCAGTTACAAACTAGAATTTAACTGTGATAGGTGACACACAGTTGTAAGGGAAGATGTTCGTTTTMCCAAAGAAATCTAACAGGAGAATATAGGAGAATAACGTAGTTGAGGTGATTTGAAAGCACTGTGGAAGAACTAGCTGAAGGTGATTCATGAAGGGGTGATGAAGTCTGAGTTGKTCCTTCTGAGTGTGGAAATGATTCAGGAAAAAAATATCTGGAAATTTATCTAAGTTGCTTCTAGGAAGTGAGATCAACCTCCTGGATGAGGATAGGATCCAGTCGCTGGAGTTTGAATGACCCATTTCTTTAAACAACAGMAAGCAGATGATGTTCGCTGCTGTGGAGAAGGAGCTCCCAGTGGAGAGATTCAAAGAGAAATAATCAGAGACAGGCTTATAGAATTAGGCCACTTTCCCCAAAGAAATGGGYCTTGCCGTGGCTATGATAGGAAATTTTGACTAGCAGCACYGGGGTATGGGTGCAACAAAAAAGATGCACCTTGGGCACAGTGTTCCACAGCATCRTCTGCAAGATGAAATACTGCTGATATCCTTAAGCTCATTTTGCACCAAGATGTTTTGAAGTGCGAGAACAAATAAATCGAGAGCGAACTAGCACGAGAAAATATAAAATTATACTGCGAGCGTTCACTTTTAATTACCAGATTGCAGCGTGCCATTTTATAGTCATCGTCGTTTTACGTGTGTGGAAATTCCAGAGCAAGTTACATGGGACTCTTTTTCTGTGAGAAGTGTCCAAAAATACTTTGTGGAGATAATGAGTGATAGACYCGAGTCCTCCAGTCGGCTGAAAACAGAAATTAGAAAATGTGCTGAGAGACTGTGGCTCTGCTCCTCTATCTGATGAAACGCGTAGCTCATGTCAAAAGTGTCTTCCTCTCGAGTGCTTTGGGCCTTGGATTTTTAATTTGCTGTGATTTAAAACTTCTTGCCGTGCAGGCAAAAGAAGCAGGAGGTTGGGCAGGAGCAGCGCGGATTGGAAGGAGCAAAGCAGAGGGAATCGCCCCGGTCTGATACAGCCTGAGCAAGTATGGGCCACTTACCGTTTTGTCCCCTGGAAGAGATTTCCAGAGGGGAATTCTTTAGGGATGAGCATTGGCTCATGGACAACAGAGCCTATACTGAGATCCTAGGGGTCGGAGAGCCGTGGAGGAGCCTTTGGGGCAAATAGGGCTGTACAGGGGTGCAAGTGGTAGACACAGAGAAGAAGTAAAAAGAGTGGGTGGGAAAAGATGCCTTTCCCTGTCTCTCTGTGCTGCTAGGGCAAGTGATTTTTGCCTTATTACTTGGATTTTAGGTTTTTTAATGAACTGCAGCACCTTTCTCTGAAAGGACTTGGTGCATACCCTCGTAGCCATTGATTTGTGCAGGGTTAGGCTGATGATAACCAAACGGCGGCTGATTTGCTTCGCAGCAGTTGCTTTTACAAAGTGTCCGGCATAGAACGGTGTTAATCGGGAAAGGCAGGAAATACAGCACATCAAACGTGAAAAAAATGTGGAATAGCTGTGAGGTGCTTTCTCTGCATTCAGTATTTTTGAGTTTTCTGATTAAACTTTCGCGTGAAAATATGCCAGCGCTAGATAAGAAAGTTATTTGCAAGAAAACGGAAGGCGCTGTTGTGTCTGAAATCAGATAGGCTCCGTGACAGTGCTGTTAAACTGCTTGGTGGAGCCTCGCTGGTGGCCCATGTGGAGCTAGCGAGCGGTGACACGGTGCTGCTTGATGCCTTGATGAYGGCTGGAAGACAGCTACAGCTTTTAGCATGGAAAGCACATAGTCACTGTGGTCCGCATGGGGCTCTTGGACCATTGCAGCTGTACTAGGAGGACAGAGTTGCACACAGTTGATCCCTGTGGCTCTCCCTGCATGAGTTTGTGACCCATTGCTTTTAAGAACCACCAAAGGGGACGATGGAGGGGGTTCTGGTTGGTCATGGAGAGGGCTACCATGTGCTGAAGTCCAAAAGCCATCYCCAATATGTCGTGGCTTTCTGCTTTGGCATCAGCCTCTGGAGGGAAGAAGTTTTAGATGACGAGGATTTCTAGCACTTTTTTTGTGTCAATAGCTTGTTTCAAAGCTTCTTAATTATCTGAAGGGCCACGAGGAAATGTCTCCTCTCTGCATGTTCCTGTCCTCCGATAAATGATCTCCACTTGAGGGGCTCATAGGAAGATGAATACATAGACTGCTTTGAATGAAGATATTTGAACTTCTCGAGCATAAGCAGATGGCTAAAGAGAGTGAAGGACTGAGTGTTTATGTTGCTGTTGAAGATATTGTGATCTGCAGTGGAAAGATATGACATTAGAAATTTCCCCATATTTTTACTTGTATTAATGTTGAACATAAATCAAATTTCACTTTGCTTACATTTTGCAAAGCATAAGGAAGGAAGGAAGGAAGTACACAACGTTATCAAGTAGTGCTAAGATTATATATATATATATATTTAAGTGCCACTAATGAGAAATGTGTTTTGCTTCACAGAATACAATTATTTTGTCAAATTTTGCTTCAGTCTACTTGTTTCCACAATGGGTCTTTATGCTTCTTCGTATTTTATTCTGTGTTGCTGCTAGGAAACCAGTCATCCACAATTGAGAAGTACAATTAAGTGTCCCTGGTACAACATAGCTTCCATTACACGTCAATATAAAGAAGACATCCAAACCATTTGTAAAATGAGGCCCAAGGTGGGAAAGGATTTTTCAGGCTGGAGCCTTCATGTCAGAGGCTCTGCTGGTGCATTATATGACTCATGTCTTGAAATGATTTGGCTTTTCTCATCACTCATTAATGAGTAGGCACTGGCCTTTAAAGAATGCTATTTCCAGCAAGCATAGGGACCACAGATGCCAGATCTTCTTTATGCACCTGTATGGATCCTTTATGGATAAAGGTCTCCAGCTGTGTCAACGTTAGCGTTTTAGTTTGGATCAGGAGTGTATTTTTGAAGCAGATCTTCCATATATTCCCCCTGTTCTACATTGGTGCACGTCACAAGTGGTCTAGGGGTATGTGGATTGGTCTGCTTTGAGGTGCAGCAAACCCAGGAGATCTGGTCTAGGGCCTCGTGTCCTTCAACCGTGACCGAGTGGCTTCTGGTTCGGAGACCAGACTAAGGCTGTTGTAAAACAGAAAACTGTTTCCCACTGCAGACAGTCGTTTGAATTTGAGTGAAATGTGGTAGCAAACCTCAAACTTTTCCAAATATCATCAYGTTCCCATCATTTATGATATCCGTGGTGCTATTTAGCAACAGAAGAGGAAGTTAAATAGATTTGTGGAAGCTACAAGGGCACAGGCTGACCATGATTTTGTACAAAAACATGCAGTCTTGCAAGCCTCACTCGCTCCAGTTTGACACATGCCTCTATTTTTAGGATCCTTTAGTATCACAAAGAAACCAAAGGCAGTTCCATATGCGGTTTAATTGTTGACATATCACAGTTTGGCATCTAAAAGATTTAATTGCTATCAAATCTGTGTCTCTTGCTTCATTCAAAATTGCTGTTTTTGKTTTTTTTYCCCCCCTTCCTCCCCTTTTCTCACCAGCTTGCAAATGCAACGGCCATGCCTCCGTGTGCAACACCAACACGGGGAAATGCTTCTGCACCACCAAGGGAATCAAAGGAGACGAGTGTCAACTGTGAGTTTGCTTCGGTTGTTATTCCTGAAATCCAAAGGCCGGGCACGTGCTGGAACGGGACCCTCATGGTTTTTAACAACTGCACTTAGGATGTCTCTGCTCGGCTCTCGGTGATGACAGTTGACTTCCTCCTTGGCCGGTGCAGCCGGCCGTGCTTCCCTGCGGCAATGACATGAGCAAAATGATCTCCTTAAGTTTGCCGTTTTCGGAGTGTTTCAGCTACAAAATGTCATGCAGAGTGTGCAGGGTGAAAAGTCACCCTGACCCGCCCCCCAAACTAAGCTTTCCACTTTGCTTAGCCCTCAATTTTATATATTTTAAATCATAGATATATTTACTTTCTATGCACTCTGCTCTTCCAAGGGAATATAAATATATCAGAAATAAGAGGGGAAAAGACTTCAGCCTTCAAGCATATAAATGGACCCCTTTCAGAGCAAATATTTGCAGGAAAATTCTCCATAATGTAATGCAAACGCTTTTAGTGAAATGCTAATGGAAATTGTTTTATTGCCGGGTTTATTTTTAAAGTGTTACTTGCATGAGGAAACCTTGTAGGACTAGATCCTGGATTATCCATAAATGGAAACTTTAGGATTTGGCTGGAGAGATTCRATAGTATGCATTGTGTAGAACTGGTAACTGCATTCCAAATGAATGCAAAGGTTAATATTCATAATTTTATATTTCATTGTCACTGCTCTCTCGTTTTTGTGCAGATCTGAGGTTTGAGTCATTCCTTCAGCAAAGCAGTATCTCTCAGATATGCATCTTTTATTTTTAAGCATGTTCAAGTGGTGTTATCTGATTTTTATGGACTGGGAGTAAATAAAACTGAAGAAATGCATTAATTAAAAATTCTTCTTTTAGGTGTGAAGTTGAAAATAGATATCAGGGAAATCCACTGAAAGGAACATGTTACTGTGAGTACTGTAGAAATTTTTTTTTTTTTTGAGGATTTGAAATGCATTGTTTAACACTAATATTAGTTGCCTCTGCATCYGTTTAAAATCCAGGTGGTTAAGGCTAGGACTAGAAAAATATTTTTTTAAATATCAATTCTCACTAAATGGTGAGAAACTCAAAGAAAACCAAAATATGCTTCTAGATAATGTTTGTATCACAGTTGGATCCATCAAAACAGACTCTAGAWTATTTCTGTTTTCATGTGACTGAAATGCTATCTGGTCATCTAGAAAAGATTCTAAAATGTAATGACGCTTGTGAGTCAAAGCATGTCTTTGGAATTTTATTAGTACAGAAATGCTGCTATTTTATTTTATTCCATGTTAGAATGGGTAAAGTGTCAAAATTGTCTTGGTGGCTTTAAATTGARCAGTGTTGGGTCTCTTTGCAACTCCAGAAGATACTTTGCCAAGATGCGGATTACTTAATGGATACTCTCCAGCTTCTGTGTGCAAGTATTTGCAGTCAGTGTGGAAAAAGTAAAGGTGTAACCACCTTTCCTGAATGTAGGAGCACGAGAGCCTTTGAGTTTAGCGCTGGAGAGACTCCTGCATGAAGGACATGGGCCTCATTTTCCCTCAAGATTCAACCTGAGAGGATGGAAGTGGGAGAAAAGTCTAGAATATCTCTTTTTATGCAGGGTAATACATATGTTGATCTCTCTTCCAACAAAGCAGTGACTCCTAGTTGTGCTCTCAGTGCAASAAACTCTTCTCTAACATGTTCCACTTGCTTTAAATCAGTTTTATTCCAAGACCTAAGTTTCTCCTTGCATTCTTTACAGATACTCTCCTCATTGACTATCAGTTCACCTTCAGCCTCTCTCAAGAGGATGATCGCTACTACACGGCCATCAACTTCGTAGCAACACCAGAAGAGGTGAATATTCTACCTTCCTTTTAAACATCATCCATTGGCTGTATGTTCATCCTCTCCTGACCAGGGAGGTGATGCACTGTCATGATTCTACTAGTGTCCAGATTAGCATGTGTCCAWTTCAACAGAGCAGCCAGAAACTTCTGGTTTTCCTGGTTTTGACCCACACAGTTTCAAATAGTCATGGTAAAGTTGTATAAGGACTCACCGTTTCCTCTATTTATCTATTTTTACACTTGTTTGAACATCTTGCTGGGCAACTCTGCCTTTGCTAGTTGTCCACCACATACCTTACGTCTGTTTTCTTACACTTTTGCCCCAGCCACATGGCTTGTTTTGTTCATTATTATGCTTTACTTGGTGAACAGAATACTACTTTCGGAAAATAGAAAGTTTTGTAGGTTCCTTTTTGTTTCATATGAAGATGCTTCATGTATTTGCTTTAAATAATCAATTGCAGGATTCCCTTCAGTGAAGATTTGCTATGGAAACAGTGCAGTAGGATTGGTTAATATTTAATCCTAAAAATGTTTGTTTTTTTTTTTCCTTTAGCAAAACAGAGACCTTGACATGTTTATCAATGCATCTAAGAACTTCAACCTCAATATTACGTGGTCAACAAGTTTTGCAGGTAAAACAAGTAGGAACTTAATTTAAGTTGCTTGCTTTTTTCTATGAAAAATGATACTTTTTTTWAAAAAAGGGCGTGTTTAGCTGGGGAAACCTTTCTTTTTACTGATGAACTGGTTATCATGTTCTTAGATTGCACTTGGAATAAAAGTAAAATGTTAAAAGAATTACATTTTTCTTCTGTTTTCCTGTCTTGTGATGGATTTTGGAGACAGTAAAGGCACTAATTTAATGTTTAGTAATACAGTTTTTCTGCATGCACTGATTCTTGATAATGCGACGCAACTCAAACTACTAGCAAAGTATTAGTCTATATAAACTATGAAAATCTGATTTTACTGTCATTGTAATAACCAAACCTTAGAACTGATAGATGTCCCTTTTTGTTTATCCCTAAAAGTACTCACTGAAACCTCTTTTCTTGCTCCTTGTTAACATTTCAAAACAGCAGGCACACAGGCTGGGGAGGAGATTCCAGTCGTTTCAAGAACCAACATAAAGGARTACAAGGACAGCTTCTCCAATGAGAAATTTGATTTCCGCAACAATCCAAACATCACTTTCTTTGTCTATGTCAGCAATTTCACCTGGCCAATAAAAATACAGGTAGGCGCTCTCCATGTTAGATAATTACTTAAAATCCTTCTTTTTTCCTCAAGCAACATGTCAATTTGGCGAGCTGTGTATTGCCCAAGCTGGCCAGCTCAGTGTAATCCTGCAAAGCCTGATGAAGAGTAAAATGGAGCCTCACCTTCTGCTGTCACCTCAGCCCAGTGGATCTGCAGATGGACTGTGAAGTGCACTGTGAAGGGTTGCTTGCTTATTAACAGAGATATATTCTAATGATGTGTTTGACCTCTAACGTGTAGCTTTTATCCCTTGGAATGGAAAAAAAAAAAGGATTCTAAAAGCCAAAAATCATACATAGAATGAGAAAATAAAGGAAATGCTCTCAGTGTGTTTTATGTCTTGTTCTTGGAAGGCATAGCTGGAGGGCCGTCCACCTTTCTTCTTTCGTTGTCCAAGGCCAGGTGGTACCTGCAGAACGAGGCAAAGTTCATTATTTCCCTTAAATCCTTGCAGTCAGTGAACATGTGTTACCACGGGTATCGAATGGTKTGTGGTAAGGCGAGTGCTGCAGAAGCAGTGGAGGAAGTGCAGTGGTTCAGGAAAATGAGACACAGAGATTTTCCAGCCGTGGTTGCAGCTAATAATTAGGAGAAATCATGGCTACTTTCTTGCTCTTGGCTAATTTTGGTACCAGCTGGCACCGTACATTGTGGTATGAGGGCCCTTTGAAAGGAAAAACTTCTAGGTCTGAACCAGAGACCTACTGAGGCTCCTTATGTTTCAATTTTGCCCCGTTAAGAAACTTGGTCAAATATAGGAACCTGGATTCTTCCATCGCCACCTTTATACAACTGCTGTTAGAATTACCTTGTGAAAACTCGCAGCTTCCCTTGAATTTACTTGAAATTGCAGACATTCCAGTTACCCAAACTCACCATAGGGATCACTTCTGACAAAGATAATGCACGCCGTAATATCAAGGAAGGTAATGATGTCCCAGTGGAAAAATGTCCTTAAGCTGTAGGGGTAGCTTTCAAGGCTTTTTCCTGAACTTTAAAAAATATTGCAGTTATTTGTGAAATGTCAGACTCACCTTCTGGTAAAGGTAGGACTGTGGGATTTTTTTGTGTGTGTGTGTTTTATTTTTTTAAATACTTGTGAAATTGTCATGCCTGTTACAGACTGGTAGGCTTGAGAGATTGCCCTTGGACCACACTTCCTTCTCARTTCCTAATATCACTTAAAATATTGGTCATTATTTTACAAGTAGAGATTTTTGTATGGTGTACAGATGGATGAAAATCTTACTTCATKGATTAATCCTAATTTTTAGATTTGAAAGATTTGCAAAAGTTGCAAGGTAGAACTTCTGCTGGCTTTTCCTATGCCAATGTTGTCGTTTGAGCTTGAATGTCCCTTTCAACTCCTGTTTTGCAGCTAGGTCTCCCTCCTTCCCTAGTTAAATTTACGCAAATCAGTCACGTCCTCCCTCAGCTTAACTAACTTCTCTCCTCTTTAACTCTTAATTTTTAAAATAATCCCTACCATCTTCATTGGAGCTACGAATTTCCCATGGCCTCATCAGTGCAATTGCTTTATTTTTATAGACAGAAAAAAATTGGGGCTAGTGCGGATAAAATAAGAGCACGTGGCCTCAAGCTGCAGCAGGGAAGGCTCAGGTTGGACAGTAGGAAGAATTCCTACGTGGGAAGAGTAGACAAGCATTGGAACAAGCTGCCCAGGGAAGTGGTGGAGTCACCATCCCAATGTTCAAGAATCGTGCAGATGAGGCATTTAGTGACGTGGTTGAGCAGGATGGTGTTGAAGGGTTTACAGTTGGGCTCAATGATCTTGAAGGCCTTTCCCTACCATAATGGTTCTATGATTCTGTCATTTTATAATACAATTTGCTGTCACTAACTCTATTACTCATATAATGCCATTTTTTCAATATCTTCTGCTGTTTTCCTAAAAACTCCTGATACTTGTTGTCCTGTTTACGTCTTGGGGTTTGGATGTCTCTCTTCGCTTCCCTCCTCTGCATGCTGTCTCTAAATTCTTAATAGTGCCACACTTGTCTGGGTAGACGGTTTAAGGACCTTGCCTTATTTCATGTGCTTTGTCGGGGTGCTGGGTTACATGCTGTCTGGTTTTGCAGACTTTGAACACTGAAATATCCAAGTTCTCCCCCCGTGTCAGTGGCATATCTTTCAGTAGCCTCCTTTCCATTAGATGTTTCGCCTTGCTCCTATTTTGCTGTCCTTGTCCTTATTGAAAACACTAATTTAATTTTGGGATAGAGCTGATGGGTTTTAATCTCCTTCCTCTCCTCACTGAATACCCTGTTTGCTTTCCTTTCATGGTCTCCTTTACTCTTATGGCAGAAATTTCTCTTGCTATTTTGTTTAGCATTTGCTAAGTCTAGCACAGCTTGACATTCAGCAGTTATTTTCTTTCTGCCACTTGCTGGCTTTTAAGACCTATCTGCTCAGTGCTTCTCCTCTCTGTAACATGTAGACTTTTATTGATCTCCACGTCCTTTTTGAGGTTGGTTTTGAGGATACAGCTTGCAGATAGTTCTGCATCTTTGATATGGGAGARATTCTTCAGTGGCTGCTTTCACATCCTTATCTCACTCCACTTGATTTCCTGCCTTATTTAATTACTTAAAAGGAGTGAACTTTGATCCTCTTAGTTTATCCTTCGTTTATCCTTAATTTTATCTGAATGTGCTTGTATGCAGTCAATCCAAGGTGATTTTATATGGTCAAATCTTCTCCAACATCCTTGCTGCAKGTCAAAATAAAGTCTCAACTGGCATCAGCTTTTACTGGCCAACCGTCTTCTTGTGAAGAAGTGTACCAGCAATATCACATCCAAGAATACAGGATCACGATGATTAGTCTTAACGTACAATGTTCAGATGATATCTCATGGGGTTGTTTCCTAGATTTGACTTTCTTTTTTGGAATTCCCCCTTTCTGATGGGAATTGAGTAGTGTTGCACCTCTGGTCATTATAAAGTCAGGCTCCTTCTGTATCCCTTAACAGCCTTTCTGGRCTGAAATCTGTATTTTGCGTTCCTGAAGCTGCACGGTCTATTTATTAGCTCTGCCCCTGCTTAGGGTAATTGTCCTGTTTCTTTCCAAAGAGCCTCTGTAAAACCCATTGCGTGCTGATGCCACCCTGTATTTTCAGTTTCTTCAGTATCTGGTAATTCTGATCATTGGCTAAGTCTTTACCAAAACCTGCAGCTGCATCTTCAGTCTTCTGGTCATCTGTGCTGTCAGGTTGCATCCTGCCCAGAAACTTTCCTAGCCCGGGTGCTGAGACACTTTATGGTTTGACACTATACATGTTGTACAAGCCAAGAGTGGTTTTTTACTCTTAACATTTCTGTGCTTTCCCCAGCATCTTGATGTTTGTCAGAGCAGTGTTTGGATAGGAGATGATCTTACAGATAGCAGTGCTTCCATAGAGGAAAAACTTAGGGGAGAAATAAGTAAAAAAAGTGTAACTTTTTTWAAWTTTTTTCCTCCAGGACTCACCATGTCCATTCAGATCAGGTRTAATCTTCCATGGAGAACTAAGTCACCTCCAGTTCTCCTTGCTTGTATTCTCAGTTCCTACTTGTCCTTTCTATATCTGTTTTGTCTTTATTTTTCCTYTTTCTTTGTCAAGTCTGAGCCCTCTTAGAGGCACGTGCTCAATGAGAAACGACAGAGTATGGATGTTTGGGGCAAAGACCTGCCTACAAAGCCAGTCCTTGATTGCAGTTTGGTGCAGTATTTAAAAATAGAGCAGTGGTCAACTTGTGGACACCCCCCTTCAATACTTGTCCTGTGCTATATTCCTYTCAAGAATATATTCCTTTTTCTTTTATTGCTTTTATTTATAGACTTTTATTCCTTTTTTTTCCCTAAGTGATTGTTCCCTTATTTCATAAACGTTCCTATACAGTTTAGGTTTAGTCCTTCAGGGCATGCTGCCTTTTTAATTAAAACTGCTTGCAATCATATGGCTGGGATGCGAGCGGATTTTCTTTTTGCAGAGGCTCAGGTTTGCTGCTTGCAGTTGTGCTCTGAAACTTTTTGCAGCTACAGAACATGTCTCAATTTCCTCTTGGCAATTACAGTGCTTTCAATATAAAAAGTGCAGTGAAGTCGGTGGAACCTCTGGAACTGCCAGATTGCTGTTGGAAAATGCTGGAAAATATTCACTCCGTGTGTGTGTGTGTGACCTTGCAGCTTGCACATTTTGTTTGAACTGTTCCTATGAACTATGTGGAACGGTACTTTTTTATCTTTTGTTTGAATAGCATAATAAGCAGTTGTGCACACATTCTCGTATCCTGGCTTGTTTTCAATTTAGATATAGATAATATCCTGACGAAAATGCTTCTGGAGATGCATAATCTTGGATAAGAAAACTTTGCAGACTTGCAGCCTTTCCTACTGTGCAGTTAAAGAAAACTGCAATTCACGTTATATCCTAATTTTAAGAAACTTTATTCTCAAGTCACTGATTGAAATCTGTCTCTGTTTCCCTCTTCCCTTGCCTTTTAGGCTCTGCACACCAAGAGTATAAATGCTCTTTTGTGCTGGAGATAGCTGTGTTCTTGCCAATGCTGAATTCTGGCTTTTTTTCCTTTTTTTCCCCTTGTTGCTCCACCTCTCTTCAAAACTACTTCAGTTAGGATTTTTCTTTTTGTTGGTTTGCTAAGTGTGCTGCTTTAGGAGGTCCTTCCCTCGCGGCTTTAATGATTTCGAAATGAGTGTTTTTCAAAAGAAGGAAAACTGCAACATGTAGGAAGCCTCCAAAATACAGCAGTCTGCCTCCTGGTAGCATCTGCCGGAATGCTTCCCCTGCACGAATGCTGCATCACAGAGCTCTTTTAAAAACTTAAAATTTGCCCAACTTTCTTGAACGCACAGGTAAGGTGTTGCTGGAAATGTCTATGTATTTCCCTTCTKCTTGCTGCGTGCTGCTTCTCTGTTAGCAAGCATGGACTGGCAGGGCTGCAGTGGCTCTGTAAG